GACGAATGCACACTCACAAAATAAGCAACTCCGTGTTCTTAAGCAATGTGTGATGCATATTCATGCGTGATACACACCTGTGTGCACAATGCATTGTGTATCTCCATATGGGCTATGTTTCTGAATGTACAATGCACATTTGCCCAATTTGAACTGGACACAGAATTTGGAACTTGCATAGGACAGAAATGCCAGCTGTTTCAGTAGAGGGATGTATACCTGCAGAAGAGGAAAAAAAACTTTTGGGACATATTAACAGTTTCCTATTGTTTTTGTTTTCCACAGGTGCCATCCAGTCTCATTCATGAAATCTGCTGGGCTTCCTTTCTTCTGGCTGTGTCCCTGTCCTCTCCCCACCCCTCTCTGATTATATGTCACATCCAGTCTCGTACAGTTGATTTTAATTCATTTCTACTAAATATTCAGGACTTAAAATTAAAATGGTAGAATTACCATAAAAGCTAATCATAATATGTGCTCCTATAAGCAATAATTATCTATTGCCACAATGAAGCAAGTACTTTTATATAGGCTTCATGCATTTTACAAACTGATTGCACCAGCTACTGTACAACCAGTAGCGGGTTTTGGCCTGCATCAATAGGAGCATAGTGTCTAGATCTAGGGAAGTCATGCTCCCCTCTATTCTGCTTTGGTTAGACCACACCTGGAATATTGTGTCCAATTCTGGGCACCACCATTCAAGAGAGATATTGACAAGCTGGAATGTGTCCAGAGGAGGGCGACTAAAATGATCAAGGGTCTGGAGAACAAGCCCTATGAGGAGCGGCTTAAGGAGCTGGGCATGTTTAGCCTGAAGAAGAGAAGGCTGAGAGGAGATATGATAGCCATGTATCAATATGTGAGAGGAAGCCACAGGGAGGAGGGAGCAAGCTTGTTTTCTGCTTCCTTGGAGACTAGGACACGGAACAATGGCTTCAAACTACAAGAAAGGAGATTCCATCTGAACATGAGGAAGAACTTCCTGACTGTGTGAGCCGTTCAGCAGTGGAACTCTCTGCCCCGGAGTGTGGTGGAGGCTCCTTCTTTGGAAGCTTTTAAACAGAGGCTGGATGGCCATCTGTCAGGGGTGATTTGAATGCAATATTCCTGCTTCTTGGCAGGGGGTTGGACTGGATGGCCCATGAGGTCTCTTCCAACTCTTTGATTCTATGATCCTATGATTCTATGTTTAGCTTGACGAAAAGAAGGTTAAGATGGGACACAATTGCCATCATTATACTGATTACAGCCAAACATTTGAAAGGATATCAAGGAGGAGAAAATTAGTTTTCTGCTGTTCTAGAGCTTCAGGCTACTTCCACATAGCCATTTATTCTGATTCAGAATGTGTATCAAAGAAGTCCGGTTCATTCCAGAGTGCCTACAAAGGCACCCTGCAAAGTGGATGCAAGCTACCAGGGAGTTCACAATGCTTCCATGACCCAGAACTATCCAAGCCCAAGAGTATTTCTTTTTCTTAGCTCCATTCTGAAATATGCTGGTTGAAAACAGTGTTTGTCTACAGAAGAACCATTTAGCATTCCCATGGGAAATCTGCCCTTTCCTTGTTGGGGAGAGGCATTCATTTCCCCTCCCTCTGAGCTGTTTATCCAAGTTCCGTCAGCAACTCCTGAAGCTTTAATAGATTACTGCAACGCACTCTACGTGGGATTGCCCTTGAAGACTGTTCGAAAACTTCAACTGGTCCAGTGAGCGGCAGCCAGATTGCTCACCGGAGCGTCATACAGGGAGCACACCACCCCCCTGCTGTGTCAGCTCCACTGGCTGCCAGTTCAGTTCCGAGCACAATTCAAGGTGCTGGTTTTGACCTACAAAACCCTATATGGTTCCGGTCCAGCGTATCTGTCCGAACGCATCTCCCTCTACGTCCCACCCCGGAATTTGAGATCATCTGGGGAGGCCCTGCTCTCGACCCCACCACTATCACAAGTGAGGTTGGTGGGGACGAGGAGCAGGGCCTTCTCAGTGGTGGCCCCTCACCTATGGAACTCACTCCCGGGGGAAATTAGGTCATCAACATCCCTCCTCTCCTTCAGGAGGAAATTAAAAACGTGGTTGTGGGACCAGGACTTCGGGCAATCTGACAACTAGATAAAGACAATTGGACGACTAGGACTGACAGGCCTGACAAAGTGGAATTGGAATTTGGACTATGAGATGGCGAACACTGAGCGTTAATTAGGTGAAATTGGTTTTATTGGTTTTATTGTTGCAGTGCAGAAACTGATTGTTAATTGATTAATTGCTGCTATATTGTTTTTATTCTACGGTTATGTTGATGCCGACATCGAATTGTGCCTTTGTAAGCCGCCCTGAGTCCCCCTCTGGGGTGAGAAGGGTGGGGTAGAAGTAACCTAAATAAATAAATAAATAAATAAATTTAACCCCATCATGACATATCCTCATAATGCATCTTCCATTTTTTAGGACTGCATAGAGTGATCAACTTTCATTGCATTTTATACAGTGAGTTTTCTAAACGCTTTCTGGCTGGATGAAGGTTGGATGTCGCATTGGGGGAGAACGTTCTGAAGGTGACCTGACCTTGAACTAACTTTAAGATGGATTATAGTATCTGTGTAAATTGGGCTTAGGACTGCCGCACCCCAAGGCTGTGATAAGAACCTTTGAACCCACAAACACACCAATGTTCTTTAATAAGCAAGCAGTTTATTGTATAAGTATAAAACCACTTTAGGAATTATATCTCTACCTTCGATGAGATCCTTCTGCAGGACACTTGGGCCATAGATAACATTGCTCTAAATGGCTTTGTCACTTATTCCCTGAATGCCAGCCAGCTTAATTCAAAAGGCCGGGCTATGAGGGGCATTGCTATTCTAGTGTCCACCTCATTGTTGGCCAACATTAACACCTTGGACAAATGAGACACCTTCTTTGGAGGTTTTTAAGCAAAGACTTTGGGCCGAGTAAAAACCCTCCCAGTGACATGTATTTCTTGCATTTCTTTCCTTAGGGTGGCCAGGCTAAGAGAGGGTGCCCAAGATCATACGAGGAATTTAATTTAAGCTCCAGTCCAGTGCCTTAATTACAAATTATCTGCATTTTCTTCAGAAGAACCATCTCTTTAATCAAAAAGGACTGCAGATTTAGAACTCTATTTTCAAAGCAAAAGGCAAAAGAGGATACCCATATTCATATATGTTGTTATGGCCATCTATGGAAATCAGTAAATAATTTCCATATTTTCAAATTCAGACTATGCAGCCTAATTAATTTCCTATTCTAATCATTACTCACGTAGAATGTGATCTGGACCCACCCAAGTGCTCTCATTTTATTAAATTAATTTATTACATTTGTTTACTTCTAAAAAAAAATTGTCATGTCAGAAGCAACTTGAGAAACTTCAAGTCACTTCTGGTGTGAGAGAAGCGGCCATCTTCAAGGCATTGTTCAGGGTATGCTCGAATGTGTTACCATCATATGGGATGCTTCTCTCATTTCACTGCATGGTAAGCTGGGGCTGACAGATGGGAGCTCACTCCATCTCATGAATTTGAACCACTGTTCCTTCAGATCAGCAGTTCAGCTGGCACAAGGATTTAACCCATTGAGTTCATCTGCAATCAAAGAGCACTCCAAACCCAACTGATGATAGACCTGGACCTGACTTGGCACACAGAACCCCCATGACCAACTGAACATACTGAATGGATTTAATGCCACTGACCCATCTTAGTGGGAGTTGTAATTCATCTTGCAGCTCGAGAGCATACTGAACCCCACCAATGATGCATCTAGAGCAAATTTGCCCAACATGATAAACTTAAAGTATTGATAGACTTTCAGGGGATTAACTGGGTATGATGGGAGCTGTAGTACACTCACAACCTTATGCATTTTGCAAAATAAAAAATGACTTCTTCTAATAACCCGGGGAACGCCAGGTACCCAAGCTAGTCTATATAAATAAAAATGTAATGTTCGTTTGTGGGATTAACATAGCTCAAAAACCACTGGACGAATTGACACCAAATTTGGACACAAGACACCTAACAACCCAATGTATGTCCTTCACTCAAAAAAATGATTTTGTCATTTGGGAGTTGTAGTTGCTGGGATTTATAGTTCACCTACAATCAAAGAGCATTCTGAACCCCACCAACGATGGAATTGAACCAAACTTGGCACACAGTTCTCCCATGACCACAGAAAATACTGGAAGGGTTTGGTGGGTGTGCCAAGTTTTGGAGTTGTCGTTCACTTACATCCAGAGATCACTGTGGACTCAAACAATGATGAATCTGGACCAAACTCTACACAAATACTCCATATGCCCAAATGTAAACACTGGTAGAGTTTGGGGAATGTAGAATCTTGACATTTGGGAGTTGTAGTTGCTGGGATTTATAGTTCACCTACAATCACAGAGCATTCTGAATCCCACCAACAATAGAATTGGGCCAAACCTCCCACACAGAACCCCCATGTGGGCCACAGCAATGCGTGGCAGGGGATGGCTAGTATTTATATAAAAATACACATACATATAGAACTATAAATTAACCTAAGAATAAACTCAGTCAAAATTAAAACCAGCTACTAAATCCTTGACTTAAAACTCCACAAACAGTAACCAACTAGAATGCTAACACACTAAGGAACTCAATGGCCAGGAGCCCTATGAATCCTGGTGGCCATCTAGAAGCAGTAATAGTGGCCCAGTCTGCCCCCTTTCTTCTAATTTGTTTGAGCAACACACAACATATCACAATTAAAGATGTTGCAAACTGAATTGTATAATTTGGATTGTTGCCACGAGGACAAAATTTCAAGGGGACCAGGATAGAACATCAGAATATGGATTGCCTGTTAATTATTTCAATACCTGGAGAGGAGACCCATATACATACATATACATATTTTAATAATGATTTTTGTAGGAGAGAGAAAAGGGGAGAGGGTGAGGACAGAATATCCAACCCAACTCTCCCATAGTTGGTTGTAAATATTGAAGAGGGAAGAAGAGGGAGCAGAATGGTGGCGATCCAGGAGCCTTTGAGTGCTCTGCTGGCGATTCTTCTGCTTCTATACTTGATGAAAAGATGGTGGTCACACCAACGTTACCCTCCTGGGCCTCTTTCTCTTCCCATCATTGGAAGCATATGGCGAATAAGGTTTGGGATTGGATTGAATGAAAGAACAATGATCAAGGTACTTCTTTTTAAATATGCAAGAATAACTTATGAATCTGAATCAAAGGATTATGAAGATAATTATGTTTTGTTTTTGTTTTTTTGCATTAACTGTGAGAAAAAACAATTCTGGGCTAGAAAAAAGTTTGATATGGAAAAATTGTTACTAGTATGTTTGGTTGTAGCATGGTGATAGTATTAGTTTATCTCTTTTTGCCAGCTTGTAAGTACTATGTCATACATCTCTGGAATCTCCTAGATAGTAATGCTTTTGCGTGTTGCAGGTGCAGTTCAAAAAGTAACATTTCCCAGCTCTGCTTTATGCCCCCAGGATCCCCTTGTGCAGTTGTTCTCAACCTTCCTAATGCTGCAACACCTTCATACAGTTCCTCATGTTGTGGTGACCTCCAACCATAACATTATTTTCACAACTGTAATTTTGCTGCTGTTATGAATCGAAATGTAAATATCTCATATGCAGGATGTATTTTCATTCACTGGACTAAACTTGGCACAAATACCAATATGCCCAAATTTGAATACTGATGGAGTTGCGGGGGGATTGATTTTGTCATTTGGGAGATGTCGTTGCTGGGTTTTATAGTTCACCTACAATCAAAGAGCATTCTGAACGCTTCCAATGATGGAATTGAACCAGACTTGGTACACAGAACTCCCATGACCAACAGAAAACACTGGAAGGGTTTGGTGGACATTGACCTTTAGTTTGGGAGCTGTAGTTCACCTACATCCAGAGAGCACTGTGGACTCAAACAATGATGGATCTGGACCAAACTTGGCACGCACACTCAATATGTCCAAATGTGAACACTGGTGGAGTTTGGGGGAAATAGACCTTGACATTTGGGAATCTAGTTGCTGGGATTTATAGTTCACCTGCAATCAAAGAGCATTCTGAACCCCACTAATGATAGAAATGGGCCAAACTCCCCACACAGAACCCCCATGTTCAACAGAAAATACTGTTTTCTGATGTTCTTTTGTGACCCCTCTGACACCCCCACATGACCCCCCCCCAGGGGTCCTGACCCCCAGGTTGGGAAACACTACCCTAGTGATAAAAATAGTGAATATGCAATGAACAGAATGCAGTGTTCTATGGGAATGTTTCTGTGCATTCAATTAGACTTGATGCATCCCTTTCTTCCACATAAGCAGCTGTTGGTACATAGCATGGGCCCAAGGTAATTAAAGTAGTGTCAAAAAGCATTACTTCAACAGTGTAGATCAGGGGTCCTCAAACTAACACCCGGGGGCCAGATACGGCCCTCCAAGGTCATTTACCCGGCCCTCGCTCAGGGTCAACCTGAGTTCGAAATGACTTGAAAGCACACAACAACAATGGCAACAATACTATCTCATGAGCCAAAAGCAGGCCCACACTTCCCATTGAAATACTAATAAGTTTATATTTGTTAAAATTGTTCTTCATTTTAATTATTGTATTGTTTTTAAGTGTTTTTTGCACTACAAATAAGATATGTGGTGTGCATAGGAATTCATTCATGTTTTTTTCAAATTATAATCCGGCTCTCCAACAGTTTGAGGAACTGTGACCTGGCCCTCTGTTTAAAAAGTTTGTGGACCCCTGGTGTACATGCACCCCGTTCTTGCCCACAGATCTGCTATGGATCATCCTCCAAACCCTCAGAGCAATTTTCATGATTTGGGAGATATCTTCTTTCTTCCCAATTCTACAAACAGAAACTGTTTCATCTGCTGGATTGTTGTAGATTTTTTCGGGCTATATGGCCATGTTCTAGAGCAGGGGTCCTCAAACTTTTTCAACAGAGGGCCAGGTCACAGTCTCTCCAACTGCTGGAGGGCCGGATTATAATTTAGAAAAAACATGAATGAATTCCTATGCACACTGCACATCTCATTTGTAGTGCAAAAAACACTTAAAAACAATATAATAATTAAAATGAAGGACAATTTTAAGAAATCTAAACTTATTAGTATCTCAATGGGAAGTGTGGGCCTGCTTTTGGCTGATGATATAGGGTTGTTGTGGTTGTTGTTGTTGTGTGCTTTCAAGTCGTTTCAGACTTAGTGTGACCCTGAGCAAGGGCCGTGTAAATGACCTTGAAGGGCCGTATCCAGCCCCTGGGCCTTAGTTTGAGGACCCTTGTTCTAGAGGAATTTTCTCCTGATGTTTCGCCTGCATCTATGACAAGCATCCACAGAGGTTGCTTCTTAAAATAGTAGTATAGAAATTAAAATATGTTCATTAATGGTGGGTTACGCAATCACAGCTCATCTAAGCATCTCCACTTTTTAAAAGCTGAGAAAGCTTGCACTAGCATTATAACCTGTGGGTTTATTTGATATCTGTGTCAAGCAGGGTGCAGCAGAGCCAGTGAAATATGTGTTTGTAATAGAAAGCATATACATATTCAGAAAGTTATTAACTGAAATAGTTCATAACATTTCTCCTTCTTGCTGTAATCCAAATGGCAGATGGCAAAACAGTATGGAAATGTTTTCACTTTGTGGATGGGAGATATGCCAATAGTACTACTGTCTGGATTCGAAACTGTGAAGGAAGGACTGATCGATCACTCAGAAGAATTATCAGGACGGGCAAGCAGTCCATATGTTAAATTTATAGGAAAAGGAAAAGGTAAGTTTCCTTGGGCCTTGCACTCTTAGGTAGCCCCTGTGCTTTTTGGGGTGGCATTGCTCCACTAACCAAAAAGAAAAGACTTGGAAAACAGTCCTACACAATGAACTGTGAGCACAGGTATAGGCTATGTGAATGCCAGAATCCTTCCCTCTCTGAGTCATAGAATCATAGGATTGGAAGAGACCACACAGGCCATCCAGTCCAACCCCCTGCCATTCAGGAAAAGCACAATCAAAGCACTCCTGACAGATGGCCACCCAGCCTCTCTTTAAAAGCCTCCAAAGAAGGAGCTTCCACCACACACTCAGAGCTTCTCCCTTCCCGTCACTCGCCTTCTTTGCTGGAGCCACTTCTCCTGCCACTTCACTGCTCTTCACCAAAGCTTAATTCCTTGATGCTGCCTTGCTCTTCTTTTAGTGGAATCTTTAAACACCTTAGACTTATCGTTTTAAATAAAGATTAACATAAACACTAAACTCTTGGTCCACATATTTTTTCTCACTGGGAATGGGAATGAGAAGGGGAGACATGGTGCAATCCTCAGGGCCTCTCGTATCCGACTTGCAAATACTACATGTAGTACCTCTCCTTCAGCAGAGCTGCTAAATACCATGGACCTGGAGGCAGAATTCAAAAGAGAAAATTGGAATAACTTCACATCTTTTTAATTCACTAATTATGTTGTAACACTGGAGAGAGATAAGGGTTGGTGGGGAACTTTTTTCCTCCAACCACAGACTTTTGCCTTCAAGGTTCTGATTTTGATAAGGCTAAATGTTTCGGCTTCTGAAAATTTCGAGATTGCAGAATTCTTGATAAAGGAGGCTCAATCAATACATCGTAGGTTTTGAAATCATGAACAATGTCTGGATGCATTGATATGGAGTATAATAAGCTTACTTATTTTATTTGGCTTGAATTTTGTGAGTAATAATTGCATATTGATTTTGGGTGTCCACAGGTATTACGTTTTCAAATGGAGACCTCTGGAAGCAACAGAGGCGGTTTGCAGTGGGTACCATGAGGAAATTGGGAACAGGGAGAAAAAGCATGGAGAGCCAAATAGAAGTGGATGCCCAGAAACTTGTAGAGATATTTGCACGTGAAAAAGGTATGTAATACTATAATAATAATAATAATAATAATAATAATAATAATAATAATAACACTTTATTTATATTCTGCCCTATCTCCCCAAGGGGACTCAGAGCAGATCATAGTACACATACACGGCAAACATTCAATGCCGTTTTGGATATACAGAACAGGAAGGAGGTATGTTGTGTCAACATCCAGCTTTTTTTGTGCCTTTGGGGGTTGTGCTTGAATGCAGCCACAGGGGGTGCTGTCACTCCATCCTCTATGACAAAGAGCCATCAGGACTTCCTCCTTCCTTTTTGGTTGCCGGGAATTTTCTAATCTTTTTTCTTTATGGTGTGTAAAATACCTCCCCTTGCTTGTTTTAGCAGTACCTAATTTCTCTTCTTACAGTTCAAGCTGTTTTTGAACTGCTTAGGAAAGCAGTAAGCTGCACTGATAGTCAGAAGCTCATGTCGACCCAGGGCATTGAACTGGCAACCTTTTGGTCGGCAGATCTTATCATTGCTGGTGATTTATCAGCTGTTTTAATGCCTGGCCCGGATATTATGTTGGTATGTATCTCAGATTGCGTAAATCCTTGTGTGGTCTGTACTTGCCATTGGTGTAGTGTTTGCCAAAAAGTTCTCTTTCTCCAAAAGGAAATCCAAATCAGAGTATTAAGAAGTTGAACTGATATTAATGGAACTTCATTTACAGGGCAGCCATTTGATCCTGCGTTGCCTATCATCAATTCAGTCTCCAATGTGACATGTATCATGCTTTTTGGACACCGGTTCCCTCTTGAAGATGAAAACTTTAAGGAACTGATTGATGCCATTGAATGTACCTTCAAATTTGGAGGATCTCCCGTTCATATTGTAAGTAACACTTGTTAATTACATTCTATTAAATAGATCATCATAAGATTCCAAGTCCTTAAGAACACTCAGAGAACGCTTGCAATAGTGTTGAATTTGGTCAAGGGAGAAATCCTCTTGATGAGTCACATCTCTCTAAGTCAGTGGTTCTCAACCTGGGGTCCCCAGATGTTTTTGGCCTACAACTCCCAGAAATCCCAGCCAGTTTACCAGCTGTTAGGATTTCTGGGAGTTGTAGGCCAAAAACATCTGGGGACCCCAGGTTGAGAAACACTGCTCTAAGTGAATGAATGCTTGACCCGGCATCCCAGACCCAAGATTGAGCCTGCTTTGTGGATTAGTTAGAAGGGCCCTCTTGGCTGGATTTCGCCATCTGTATCTCAACTTGCTCTTGCTGTGTGCATTCAGAGATGGGTTCCCCATATTTCCCATATATTTACAGACAGTGTGCTGGTACGTCTGTACCAGGAGCTCCAGCTTAATTTTCTTTCTGTTTTAAGTGTTTGCATGCATTCCAAGGTTTCAGGGATTCTGCAAAAAGGTGGCTTCTTTTGGTTTGCAGTCATAGGGCAAGCCACCTGTCTATCATTTTTAAGTTTGGATCCGCCCCTTCTCCTAGGGAGATGGGAAGTGAAGAGGGGGCCATTTTTTAGTTAGTCTTAGTGAGGAAAGCTAAGTTAGAGGACGTGGACAAGCTTCACCTGCAGAAAAGCTTCATTTCTCAAGACGTTCCAAGGGAAAATTCCCAAAGCTCTGGCTGGGAGCTTGCAGCCTCTCAGCCTTACAGCATCTGAGGAAAACAGCCCTAAAGTCTTAAAAACATCCAGAGGGAAAACAGCTTTACAGACCCAAAGAACTCCAGCTGGAGAATCTACAAGCTTTGTCTGGTAGGTTTACTCGGTACCAAGTGTTGTGCCTTGGCGGTGGGTCTGTAGGTGACTGTAGAGATCTATTCTTGACCTGCATGCTCTTCCACAGTGAGGACATCAGTGTCCAGGTGGAGGGCAGTCCCAGTCAGGATTGGCTTGGCGTGCCTTCCTCTTGACACATTTCTCCCTTTCTCCCTCCATTCATGCCTCTTTAAATTCCACAGCATTGTCAATAACAGCTGACCTCCARTTAGACACTCAAGAGTCTGGACTTCYMAGTTCTCAGTGTCTATGCCACAGTTTTTAAGMTTGGCTTTGACCYATCWTTAAATMARTTTTCCTGTCCACCAACATTTTGTTTTCCAACTTGAGTTGAGAGTATAGTAACTGCTTTAGGAGACGGTCATCAGGCATTCGGACAACRTGGCTTGTCCAGCRAAGTTGATAGTGGRGGATCATGGYTTCAATGGTGGTGGTCTTTGCTTCTYCCAGTATGCTGACATTTGTTTGCCTGTCTTCCCAAGAGMTTTGCAGGATTTCTTGGAGGCAATGCTGATGGAATTATTCCAGAAGTTGAGTGTGACTACTGTAGATGGTCCACATTTTGCAGGCGTATAACAGGGTTGGGAAGACAATAGCTTTACCTCATATAAACAAGCACTTTGGTCTCCCTATGAATGTCCAGATCCTCAAATGTTCTCTGCTTCATTCAGAAAAATACTGCACTCGCAGAGCTCAAACTATGTTGTAGTAACTGTAGTAAATGGAGGACAAAGTAGTAGTGGGAGGGGAAAACTGGAACATTTGAAAAGCAACCAAGAAAGTGGGTGAACACAGAATTAATTAGGAGCATCCCTTCTAATTAATTGAGAATTTACAATGAGTTATGTAGCAAGAGCAAGAAAATTAAGCAGAAAGGGAACTAGTCTCCTTTCCTCCAAGAAACGTAGTGATGGCAAAGGGCTCATCTAAACCAACCAGCTAACTTTAAACTGTGGTCACTGAACTATGCAAATTGCAAAAGCACGCTGCAGTGATTTTAAGGAGTTTAAACTGCCTTAAATTAAATTGGGGAAAAGTCTGGAATAAACCCCTGAATGCATTGCAGTGCTGCCACAATATAAGCCACATCACACAATGAAACCAACTCTAAGAGCATGGCTAGGCCTCGGTTGGCCAACTGAACCCCTGGGATAGGTTGTTGCAAACCTCTACTGCTAACTGTCACTTCTGCTTATGTTGCACATTCCCCAAGCAGGAAATTGCAAAAATAATATATTCTCCATGGCTGTCAAACTGTGAATATGTGAATACTGTGGATTCTAGAACTGGTTTGAGCCCACCTTCCATGGTTAATGTCATCAGCATCCTGGTCTCAAACCTGTTGAAAAAATGGCAATCCAGTCATCTGCACAACAAAACCAGTTTCTGCCAAACCAATTTGAAACCAATCAAAGTGGTCAGTGTAGAAAAGTCCAAAGCAACTTACATGTGTCAAACCTGTTTTGACTGATGGACTGTGTTGCCTCCTCCATATTAATAATAGGCCTTTGCTTTTCTCCATTGTAGTTGTTTGAATTGTTCCCATGGATATTGAAGCGTCTTCCAGGGCCTCACATGAAGGCACTAGAGAGCATAAAGATTATGTTTTCATTAGGGGAAAAAGAAATACTTAAACATAAGGAGAAACTGTCCTCTCGTGAGCCACAGGATTTCATTGATCACTACCTTCTTCATATAGAGAAAGTAAGTATCTGATGTGTATCCAAGTACAGGCAGCCCCAGAGTTACAAACATCCATCTTACAAACAACTCATATGGCCTCATCAAATGCAATCTCATCCTACGTGGGTGGGATGGTGGGGTGGTGGTGGTGGTGTCTTCTTTTCATTTCTATTCATTTTAATGCTGGAGTACCATGATACCCATCAATCGGTACAGGACTGCTTCCAGTGGATTTTGTCTTGACAATAAATAGAAACATTAGACTTGTGCAGTTGAGGAAATATCAACTCCACTGCTCTCTTTTCACACAGATATAACTAAAACTTGGTGTTTTAAGGTGGTATGGGAACTATTGTGAAGTTCTCAATTTACTATGTAAACAGAAGGCCTTTGAACGTTACACTTGAAAGATGATTTCCCCCAACTTCTCCCCCCTCCCCTTATTGAATGAGGTCCTTAAGGCTCATACATACATGCAGGATTAAAAATAACATTGAGATGTAGCTTTGTTATCAGTCATAATTTATACTTCACCGTTAACATTTTCAGGAACAGAAGAATGATCCTACCTCGATATTTGATGAAGATAACCTGGCTCACTGTATTAGTGACCTCTTTATTGCTGGAACACATATATCTGCATTGTTTATGCAATGGGCAATCCTCCTTTTGACAAATCGTCCATATATCCAAGGTAAGAAAGGTCTTTGTGTGCAGAAACATGGGGAAATTAGATTCAGCTTCTCCTCTAATAATGCCTCCCACTAATTAGATTGAACATATGAACGGTGACGCAACTGGTTAAACCGCTGAGCTGCTGAACTTGCTGACTGGAAGGGTGGCAGTTCAAATCCATGGGAAAAGGCGAGTTACCACTGTTAGCCAAAGTCTTAAATGTCTATTTAAAATAGGATAGAAATGTTATGCTTGGATTGAGGGAAACCAGTTTAAGATTTCAATGGCATTTTGGAAGAAAAGCAGAACAAAAAATGTAATCAATTAAATGTGATTTGTGAATCATTAGACATTTCAATTGAGTATAATACATCTTTATCAAATTGTTCATTTTGTCAAATAATCTGTAATATTCAAAATTCAGCTTTCATCCTTTTCTGTCTATTTCCTCAGATAAAATCATCAAGGAGATAGATGATGTGTTGGGTTCCTCTTCCATCTGCTATGAAGACCATAAGCAGCTGCCTTATACTAACGCTGTGTTTCATGAGATCATGCGTTACAGATATGTTGTGTTAATAGGCACAGGAAGGCAAACTACTAAAGACGTGAATATAGGGAGTTTTTTCATCCCAAAGGTACAGATTACAGTTCAGACTGCACTTCTGTATACCAAAAACAAGGAGGTTCACAAGTTGGCATTTAGGGAGATGTAGATCCACACACGACAGAGCAAGCATGGTGTAGTATGTGAGTGTTGGAATATGATTCTTGAGACTAAGGTTTAAATCCCCATTTGGCCATGGAAACTCACTGGTGAGCTTGGACAGGAAACACTGCTCTGTCTCAGAAGAGGGCAAAGGCATAAATGCTCTAAATAAATCTTTAACTCCTTTGGGCCCCTTCTACACTGTCATATAAAATCCAGATGCTTTGAACTGGATTATATGGCGGTGTAGACTCATATAATCCAGATCAAAGAAGATAATGTGGATTATCTGCTTTGATTATCTGGATTATATGGCAGGGCAGAAGAGGCCTTTGTTCTATCAATGTGTTAGCTCATCATCCAACAAATGGTTAAATGATTCTATTTGAGTTAAGACTAACCAAGAAGAATTTCTGCCATATTTTGGACCTTTTTGGATGATCCACAACTATTCTTACACACCTTGATCCATTAGGATAGCATTGTCTATTCCCACTGTACATTGCATAATAGGAACATTGGCAATAAGGCATATGTTGGAAGAGTGATGTAACACAACCATCGTAGTATTAGGTGAGTATAAATTTACATTGTGCAAGCCTCAGCAACTGCAAGATACATGGTTGGGCTATGATAAGCTATTAAATAGCCCATTCTAACTAAATATTTGTTTTCCATTGTTTCTATCTTTCAGGAGACAGTTGTTATACCCGATATGTATGCTATTCTTCATGATCCTCAGCACTGGGAGACTCCTGAAGAATTCAATCCTAATCATTTTTTGGACAAAGATGGAAATTTCGTTACTAGAAAGGAGTTCCTGGTATTTGGAGCAGGTAAACATACTCTCTCAGCATCATAGGAAAGAGGCTTGGGCCTGAATCAGTATGAACGAAAATGATTTGTAATATTTGGTGGTCCATTTTGTATAACTGTTGGGGTTCAGCCTGAGTTTGAACTTGAACCTGATTCTCTGTTTGTTCCTCCTGATGCTAATGAAAGTATATTTACTGATGCTAGTGGAAATGTACCTTTTGATGCCAATGCTCCTGAAATTAGTGAGGAAGAAACTGCTGTAGGTTTGGAAAATGCCAATGTTCCTGAAATTAGTGAGGAAGGAACTTCTGTAGATTTGGAAAATGAAAGTACCAGTGTTTCTGAGAATGTTTCAGAGGGAGACCTTGAACTTTCCCTCCCTTCTGCACCTGTTAACTGTAATGACAACAGAAGGGGCCAAATTTGGGAAGACAGAAGTAAATCACTCAGTTTGCGTCGATCCTCCCGAATTCAAGAATTAAAAACATTGGCTTCAAAACAGAAGGGCGGTTCACGGAACCGATTCTTGAGTTTTAATTGCAATACGCCAGGCTGATTGCCTCAGTTCAGGCATCGTTTCAGAATTGATGAAGACCTTGGCAGTTCTCCCGGTTCCCTGGCCATAGTTTGGGAAGATTTCTAGGATATCAAGTACGGTTAGTGGATTGCTAACAGATTCCAGTATTTTCCCAGTGAGGCTTTTGGTTTTGCTTTGTCCATTTAAATTCATGTTTGCTGATTTTGCTGTGGCTTTTGACTTGCATTTTTCCTTTATTTTGTAACCATTTTTCTTCAATAAAAAAGGATTGTTTTTCACAGCCAAGTGTGGTGGATAGTTATCTTAGGGCCTCGTTCCCTGCTCTGGATTGCAACAATAACCTCCAAAAACAGAATGGGGAAGATAAAAGCTGACCAAAATGCATTAAGGGTACCCGATTGCAAAGACAATCCAAAAGGCTAAAAAACTCCACAGGAACAAGACCCCTTGAACAAGGTTTCCATGGCACATGAACTTGGTTTCCAAATGATGCCTGATCTAACAGGTTTCCCCTTGAGGCAAACCTTATATCCCAAAATTCAGGAAATGGTTTAGCTTCCCTCCACATTTCCCCCTTATCAGACAAAGCCTTTCGGAGTGACGTAAACACTGAGTTTGCTGTCGATCCTGACTAATCTCCAGCTGCCTATTCCTCAGCTCCCTATCTGGCTGCTCATTAAAATTCCCAGGTGTCAGATTGTTTTCCAAACCCAAATCTTGAGAGCTCACAGAGAGAGGGAGTGAACCATCATTGCTAGGCCCAGCAGGAATATTCTCATGAGAAACTGCCCATTGAACTGGGGCCTCTCTGTCATTGTCTGCCTGAAAAGCATTGACCAAACCATCTCAATCTTGCACCTCAGCCTTGGCAGCATCATTTCCCTCATCATTTCCCACATCAGGATCCTGAAACACAAACACAGGCTGATTCCCAACACTCTCTTGTGGTTTGTCATATTTTAAAAAATGTTATGGTAAAAACTTAAAAGAATTGCAAAAGATCAGTAGATTGGTGAATGGTTTTGAAACTTGGCAGGCCTCCAGTTGTAAATGGGGGCTAAAATTGATGTAGGTTTCATGCAGAGGGGCCTTAAAATGACTGAGGATTCAGCCTTTAAAGTTTCTATTGTAGTCAATGGACCGAATCTTTGCCAAATCAAAACAGCGATGCCCGTACTGATTAGAGTAACTTCCCAGTAAAAAGAGTGAGGGGTTAGCCTCGGCATGGGCAAACTTCAGCCCTCCAGGTGTTTTGGACTTCAACTCCTACAATTCCTAGGGTTGGGAAGACAATAGCTTTATAATCAAGTCAATCTTCCACTGTTTGTTCTCTGGTTTGATTTTTCACAACTTTATATTCTATTTTGGATAATAGATACAAGCAGCACTTTAAAGGGAATGTGACTGGAATGACGATATTTCTGATGAGACTGTTTTACTGTTTTAATGATGGCTTATGTATTGTTAATTATGCTTTTATGTCTAATTGTGGTTTTAATTTTGTAATTTATTATGTTATGGCTTCGGAATGGGGCCCATTGTAAGCTGTCCTGAATCCTCCTTCGGGGGTTGAGAAGGGCGGGATAGAAATGCGAGAAATAATAAATAATAATAATAAATATTTTTAGGGAAAGTGTTTACCAATGAAGTGGTTGTAGGCTTGCTTCTGCATCGTTTACTCCTTCCTCTCTGTTTCTAACTATTCCTTTTCTGTTTGGCAGTAGTAATAAACATTGCTGTTTACATTTAATGTGTTCTTCCTAATGTTTAAGCAGAATTGCTTCTCTTCTCATTTGAATCTGATGGGTTCCTTTGAGATGGGGAAGTAGACCATGGCTTACGCATTCATAGCCCAATTTTCAGATTGTCCTCTGTTTACTGAATGTGAGACATATTCATTTTTTGCCTTTATTTCCCTTGCAGGGGCTCGGCTGTGTTTGGGAGAACACATGGGGAGGATGCAGTACTTCCTCTTCTTGACCAGCCTGTTGAAGGCATTCCATCTCCAGCTGCCTCCAGGAGTCAAAGAGCTCAGTGAAGAAATTGTAATAGGAACGTTGCTGTCACCCAAACCTCACAAAATTTGTGCTGTTCCTCGTGAAAGTTCATCAAAAAGTATCCAAAATGCAATAGACTCTGAGTTAACCAACTAGCACTCATAGGGATTGAGATGCAGAATGAATGTTGAGAGTTATTTTTGGAAACAGGTCTGACCAATATTATACCTTATACTACACCATGCCATAAACTCTGTAATTATTTGACATTAATCTTGAAATACAGTAGTTGAAATTAAGACAAATAAAGATAAACCTACTTTAATGTAGTAGAGTTTTCCTGTATTATAGATGCATTTTAACAGTCATTTAAAGTATTTTTGCTGGTTGCTTGAGAGCTCTGATTGGTTTTGTTTTGGTTAACTGAGAGTCTACTGTAATTCCAACGGCTTACAATTTAATCCTGTGATTTTAAAGGAAATTTACTCTTCATTTAATGTTCCGAAGCTTCTTTCCCACTCACAGGGCCTGAAGCAAACTTGACTGATAAGTCTATCATAATCATAAAGAGATTTTGTCTCATTCTGTTCTACTGCCTTTGCATCAATTGCTCAGCTGAAAGAATCCCTGCTGTGGATGAATGTAGGAGAGCTAGTGTAGTACAATGGCTTGAAGTATGGACTGGTTCTTTGAGGCCCCTTCCACAAAACTGAATAAAATCCCACATTATCTGCTTTGACTGAAATATATGGCAGTGTGGACTCAGATAACCCAGTTCAAAGCAGATATTGTGAGGTTTTCTGCCTTGATACTCTGGGTTTTATGACTGTGTGTATAATTGTGAAATAGAGGGAGAAAAAGTGGAGGCAGTGACAGACTTTGTATTTCTAGGTGCAAAGATTACTGCAGACGCAGACTGCAGCCAGGAAATCAGAAGACGCGTACTTCTTGGGAGGAAAGCAATGTCCAATCTCAATAAAGTAGTGAAGAGTAGAGACATCACACTGGCAACGAAGATCCACATAGTACAAGCAATGGGATTCCCCATAGTCACCTCCGGATGTGAGCGCTGGACGATAGGGAAGGCTGAGCGAAGGAAGATAGATGCTTTTGAACTGTGGTGTTGGAGGAAAGTTCTGAGAGTGCCTTGGACTGTGAGAAGATCCAACCAGTCCATACTTCAGGAAATAAAGACTGACTGCTCATTGGGGGGGAAGGATAGTAGAGGCAAAGATGAAGTACTTTGACCACATCATAAGAAGACAGGAAAGCTTGGAGAAGGCAGTGATGCTGGGGAAAATGGAAGGAAAAAGGAAGAGGGGCCGACCAAGGGCAAGATGGATGGATGGCAACATTGAAGTGACTGGATTGACCTTGTAGGAGCTGGGGGTGGTGATGGCCGACAGGGAGCTCTGGCGTGGGCTGGTCCAGGAGGTCACGAAAAGTCAGAAGCAACTGAATGAATGAACAACAACATGACTGTGTGGAAGGGCCCTGAGAAATCAGGTTTCAAATCCCACTTGGCTATGAAACTCACTGAGTGACCTTGGGAAGCCATACTCTCCTTGACTCAGAGACAGAGAACAATCTCCATCGGAACAAACTTTGCTAAATTTCAAACAACTTGAAGGCACATTGCAGACCACAATAAATAGTGGGGGTATCCGAGCTTGATAAGACATCCCAACTGTAGCAAAAGCTATCTCCAGATAAGTGTATGTATCAGCATCTGCTATTAACATTTGTCTGTGGCACCTTCAAGACAGGACCTATATCCCAGGAGCGGATCCCAGGTTTTCTGCATTAAATTGGATTATATGAGTCCTCACTGCCAGATAATCTGGGATAAATAGAAAGCCTGGGATCAGATCTTGGGATATAGGGCCTGACTGGAAGAGCCCTAAGAAGCAGTATGCTTGCTGCCCATCAAACTGGGTAGAACTATGCAGAGAAGAAAAAGAACATGAAACTATGAAGTCAATACGGACTTTAGGAGGGTCTCCCCAGTAAGAGAGACCCCTAGGACCGCACCAAAGAGGGCCCATGACCTTGGCAAGCTGTCAGAGAAGCCTGATTCCAGCAATTTTATTAATATTAATAATTGAAATGAGACTCTTGCCAAGGCGAAGAAGAGGCATTGAGGTTTAATGAGCGATTCAGCTGAGTCGGATGCAAATAGCTCACCCACAAGCATACCAGTACATTGATCAGAGGCATATTTATAGCAAATTCAAAGTTGCAGAGTTCAAACTCCCCGCCCGGCTTCCCTGTTGTTCCCTGCCATGATTGGGTGATGGGCAAACAGTTGGGAGGCGGCCCTCCCGCCCCTGGTGCCTCTGGACCAATCAGGAAGCTCCAGTGGTTCGTAGGAACCAATGGGGAGACCTCTGCCACCTGGTGGCGACAGCCAATCAGAAAAGATGGAGGCGGGATGAGGGAGCACAAAGGAATCTGGGAAAGGAGTAAACAAAGGAAATGCCATGTGGCCTGAGACAAAGAGCTCAAGCAGGGCTGCTTTGAGTGTTATGAATCAACATGTGTCCTGATCCTTCCTGGCTGTGAGACAGGAGAACAATGATGGCAGCCTGAGGTTAATGCTAAGTAAACAAAAGCAGAGGGGAAGATTTCCCCTTATCTTACAGAAACTTTTGTCAAACAATTCTTTACTCTAGTGGGCCATTTCCGATGCTAGAGATAAGAATCTCCTTCTTTTATCCATGCAAGTGTGTCTTTGGCGGGAGGTTTCAGTAATCACTAATGGCTTTTGTTTCTGAAGGCCAGGGGGTTCCCTTACATATTTCTTTGGAGGGAGAAGGGGCAAAGGGTCAGGAATACAAGGAAACATAAAAACCATATAGAAATTATACACAGGGAAATCATATGCAGCTATCTTCCCATCCAGGACCCCAGAGAGAGATTAATAATACCAATTATAAAAAGCAGACGATATCAGGACACAGCATGAATTCATAAGTTGTCTTGAAGAAAGTTCATGGGTAGAGAGCGAGTCCTTGAAAAGAGTGAAGACCAGGAATGTAGCAGAATTCAAAAAGCCACCAAAGGTAGTCTATGGAGTTCCACTGGGCCAAGACACAAAGCCCTGCAGCGCTGGGATGGAAGCCGGTCCCATGGTCCTTGGAAAACTACAGCTCTCGAGAGAGGCAGAGACCCCAAGGTCTAGCTATTCCCAAAGTTTCATGGGGTCCTCATTGTTGTTAAGGCCTTGGCAAATTGACCAAGACTTAACCCCTATTGAGCAGTCTGGTACCTTTGTCCTTTGCAGAACTATAAGTCACCATCCCTTGTTGGGGGGGGGCATGCTCGACGTCAACTAGACATCTAGAATGCAGGACTGCTGAAATGGCCCAGAGACCCTTGATCATCTTGGTCACCCTCCTCTGGACAGTTCTAGCTTATCAATATCCTCCATGATATCTCCCCTTCCACACAACTGTATAAAATCCACATTGAACTGGATTATATGGCAGTGTGGACTCAGATAACCCAGTTCAAAGCAGATATTATGGATTATCTGCGTTGATATTCTGGGTTATATGGCTGTGTATCAGTTGCCCGAAACTGGACACAGGATTCCAGGTGAGATCTGTCTTAAGTAGAAAAGGATGATACTAGTTTTTCCCTTGATTTCGACTATATGGGTGCAGCCCTTTGGAACGTTCTTACAGAAAACAATAACTAAATGGAATTCTCACCTATCTGTGTTGTGGGCTGGCAGCTTCCATGACTGCATGACAGCCAATGTGCTTCATTCATTTAGTACAACTTTTTAATTTTATTTTATTCTAAAAAATATATTTGCATCATTTTAGTTTTATATGTCTAAAATATGTAAAGAAAATAAAACATAATTTATTTTTTTCAACTACAACTAAGCACCTATTAAAAATAACAAAAGAGAAAGATGAAATCAAAATGGTTGTTGTTCCTTCGTTCAGTCGCTTCCGACTCTTCGTGACCTCCTGGACCAGCCCACGCCAGAGCCCCCTGTCAGCTGTCTCCACCCCCAGCTCCTTCAAGGTCAAGCCAGTCACTTCAAGGATACATCCATCCATCTTGCCCTTTGGTCGGCCCCTCTTCCTTTTTTCTTCCATTTTCCCCAGCATCATTATCTTCTCCAAGCTTTCCTGTCTTTTCATGATGTGGCCAAAGGACTTCATCTTTGCCTCTACTATCCTTCCCTCCAGTGAGCAGCCAGACATTATTTCCTGGAGCATGGACTGGTTGGATCTTCTTGCGGTCCAAGGCACTCTCAGAATTTTCCTCTGACACCACATTTCAAAAGTGTTTATCTTCCTTCGCTCAGCCTTCCAAAATACACATGCACAATCAAAAAACTCTACAAATTTAACATTCTCTTTCTTTTGTCCATTATCCCTTGGTAGTCTACTCCCTTTAAATGATATTATATAATCACATTTCTTTTAGGTTCTTGTGGGTTTTTTCGGGCTATATGGCCATGTTCTAGAGGCATTTCTCCTGACGTTTCGCCTGCATCTATGGCAAGCATCCTCAGAGGTAGTGAGGTAGGCCTGGGTAACAACGGAAAAATTTGTTTCTAAAATCAATTCGTTTTTTTGGGGTTTTTGCGTTTCGATATTTAAAAGAATTCCGAAATTTTTCTTTAAAAAAAGTTCGATATTTACGAAATTTCGTAAATGGTAAAAAAATTACAAAACAATAACGAAACAATAACGAATTGATTCGTTAATGGCGGCCGCGATCGCGCAATACGCTAAAAAAACTTCTGAAGCTTCCCTCTCCCTCTGTTGTTGACTGTTGGTGTGATATTATAATTTTTTTTCACTAATTAAACAAAAAACAACTATAAAACTTGCCCCAGACATGCGGAAATAATAACGAAATGACCTCAAACCAATAACGAAACGAATACATAACGAAATACGAAGCATTTACGAAACGAATTGAAAAATTCGTTTCGTTTTTAAGTTGCTCCAGAATGGTTCGTTATCGCTTCGTTAACAAAAAAAATAACGAATTTTTAACGAATTACGAATTAACGAAACGAAACCGCCCAGCCCTAGTAGTGAGGTCTGTTGGAATTAGGACAATGGGTTTATATATCTGTGGAATGGCTGGGGTGGGCATTGTGATTCCAGCCATGAAAGCCTTCGACAATACACATTTCTTTTGTCAGCACTCTAGAAATTCATGAACCCGACAGTTGACAAATTGCCTTCATCATTGTTGTGAAAAGATAATGAACACGTTCCAGTCTTTCTAAAATATTTTTGCTCAGTCAGCACAGTCAATTTGTCCAATTTGGTTTAGATAAAGGTTTCCCCTTGAAAATAAGTCTAGTCATGTCCAATTCTGGGGGCTGGTGTGAGTAATTCTAATATTACGTACAAGAAGAAAGAGAGTGCATAGCACAATTTGTTTCATTCATTCATATTTAGTTCACTTTTCCTATATGAACTTTTCAAAATTCTGCAGCTCCCCAGGTGTTTGGAGAGGGAACTCTTCATAACCTTTGTGAGCAATTCTAATATTACGTAC